GGGACCTGCAGCCAGGAGAGAGGTACATTTTCCATGTCACAGCACTGAGCGGCCTGGGGACAGAAGACCACCCCTCAGAGAGTCTGGCCACGGCCCCTTTCCACGTATGGACGAGTAAGTGGGGTTGCCTTTGCCAGGCCCTGCTGCTGGGGCCCTGGGGCTTGGCAGGCACCGGGCAGCTGTAGCTTACGGCCAGCAGGAAATCTGCAGGGAGGGGAAGGTGTGAAAGCCATCAGCCTGTCTGGCCAGCACTGCACGTAGGATGGGTGCAGGCTGCCCTTGGGAAGGGCTGGCAAAGCACCACCATGTTTCCCTGCCAGATGTTGTTCACTGCCCAAGACTAGTGCAAGCTTGGTCCTAGGCAGAGCTCTAATGGGCTCAATTGATCCCCTGCTGTGTGGGAGCCAGAGGGTGAGGGCAAGACCTGGTGCCAGAGTGCAATGAGGCTCTGCCTGCTGTGGTAGGGACCCAGTGCTGAGCACCTATCCCTGGTGTGTCACACAGCCAGAGCCAGGCTGAGGGTTGGCCAGGGCAGGGCCCTGGCATGCTTACCAGAGGGTGTGTGAGGAAGCAGGGTAGTGGCCATTCAAGGACACCAGCGCTGACCTCTTTTTCTCTCTACCTCCTGCCTGCCCCAGGGCCTCTCCCCCCCCAAAACCTTACCGCCTCCCGCGTTACTGCCACCTCGGTGTTGCTGGTGTGGGAGCAGCCGCCCGCCGGGGCTGCCGAGGGCTACATCATCAACGTCACCACTGCCCAGAGCGTGAAGAGCCGCTACGTGCCCAACGGGAAGCTCGTGTCCTACGCGGTGCGGGACCTGCTCCCGGGGCAGCAGTACCGCCTGTCCGTGACGGCCGTGCAGAACACGGAGCAGGGCCAAGTGCACAGCGAGCCCATCCACCTCTACGTCACCACCTGTGAGTGCTGGGCTGCCTGGGGCTGCAAACCAGGGCGGTGGAGGCGATGGGCTAGGGGGGAAGCTGGACGGGGGTAGGAAACAACATGATCAACAGAATGAGTCTGTGGGGACTGAAGAACTGGGTGCCTGAAGCAGGCTGCAGGAGCAGGATGCAGGTCCTCTGCAAAGGGAGGTGGGAGGTGATGGGCTAGTGGGGAAGCTGGGCGGGGGTAGGAAACGACGTGGTCGACAGAATGAGTCTGTGGGGACTGAAGAACTGGGTGCCTGAAGCAGGCTGCAGGAGCAGGATGCAGGTCCTCTGCAAAGGGAGGTGGGAGTTGGACACAATGGGCTAGTGGGGAAGCTGGCAGGGGGTAGGAAACGACGTGATTGACAGAATGAGTCTGTGGGGACTGAAGAACTGGGTGCCTGAAGCAGGCTGCGGGAGCAGGATGCAGGTCCTCTGCAAAGGGAGGTGGGAGTTGCAGGGTGCTGCCTCCGTGGGCAGATGCAGAGCTACAGCCCTGTGATGCTTCACAGGGAGTGGCGCTCGCAGCCCAGGCCCGTGGAGAGCGTGCACAGCCCTAAATGGCACCCTGGCAATAAGGGGACTGGCTGGGAGTTTGTTTGCTGGGTTTCCTCACAGCCTGCCTCCTGCTAAGTCTAATCGTTTGGTCTGCAGTGCAGAGGGACGGGGTTCCAGAGAGAAGGTGGAGCCAGGGTGGGCATCCCCGGGCCCTGGGCAACAGGCTGCCCCCGGCGTTCCTGCCCGAGCTCCGCTTGCTGGCGGATCACGACGCAGCCGAGGACCCCTCGCCAGCCCCGAGGTAGGCACTGTGCCAGCACTCCTGGCTCTTCACCACCACTTGGCCCAAGCACTGGGCTGAGCACAGTCGCTTTTCCCAGCTCTCGTTTCTGGGTGTGCACAGAGTCAACCCCTGCACCATGCCTGACGCCACAGAGTGCTTTATTCAGCTGCCTCTAGCCCCAGTACATGGAGTAGCTGTGGCCGAGGGGGCCTGCAGTGCCCCATACCCTCATGGCTCTCCTGTCCCAGGTTCACTGAGCTGGTGGATGGCAGAGGGAAGATCAGTGCCAGGTTCGGCATTGTGCTGGGCAAATCCATCACCATGAAGACACGTAAGTGTTCTGCTGCCTTTCTGGCCCCCTCTCATCTCCTGTGCCATCTCCTGCGCCTCCCCTCAGGAAAGGGTGGCAACTGGGTAGGCTGCTGTAGGACTAGGGGAGCCATAGAGGAGGGCAGAGTCTTCTCAGCCTCTCCCTGGGCATACAAACATGTGCCCTGCTTGCTAGACCCATGCCCAGGGAGAGGGGTGATGCATAGCCCATTGGGGAGCCCAGAGAGGGACCCTCACTGACTGGAAGCAATGCTGGCTGCTGCATAGGCTGGCCTTCTCCACTGACAGCAGCAGCAGGAGCCTAGGCAGTGACCCTGCAGCCCTCCAGCACAGCCTCTGCCTGCTCAGCAGCCTAAGCCTCCACCACCAAGCACAGACTTAAGCTCAAGGAGGGTGCCTGTGCAAGAAGTCCCTCACTAGCCCCAGACCAGCCCACCATTTGCCATCCCCAGAACACCAGGGATATAAGCAGCAGCCCAAGATACCTTACTAGGCCTGGCAACCCCATGCCACAGGGTGGAGAAGTGGCCTAGCATACTTAACAGCAGCCCTGGGCTTGCTGCACATCTTGGCTGTGCCCCTGCGTTTTCAGGACACTGCATCCCACTGTCCTTCAGGAAGGGCAAAGCAGACACCCTAATTCTAGGGGTGCCAGTTGGGAAGGTCTAAACCACTGCCTCAGACCTGATCAGCCCTGTGATGCTGTGAGTAGGCTGGGTCCCACTGGAGGGGCTGCCTTTGGGTCTGTCCCCAGCTGGAGGTGACGTTTGACCCTCTCTTTACCCAGAGCCAGAGGCTCCAGTGAAGCTGGAGAACACGGAGGCGTCCAGCCGGGGCAGCCTGGCGCTGCAGCTGCGCGAGGCAAGGAGCAAGAGTAAGTTTGGGGGCCAGGCGTGAGCAGCAGGGACCCCCTTCTGTCTGCCCTGCCCCTGGTGCTCTGGGGTCTGATGGCCGTTTGTACCCTGCAGGCGAGGGGCGGGGCTGCTCCGTGAACCCCTGTAGGAACGGGGGCACCTGCACCAGGGCTGCCGGGTCTTACCACTGCGACTGCCGCCCGGGATTCAAGGGCCAGCTCTGCGAGCTGGGTGAGTGCTGTGCTGCTGCCCGAGGGCCCAGCTTTCTCCTGCAGGTGGATGGCGTGTCCCCAGCCTTGGCAGGAGTCCTGGCCACAGGTCACCCAGGGCAGGTCACCAAGTACACTGTGTCAGCACCCAACCCCTTCTAGTCGAGGGGGCTCCCACCATGCCCAGGCTCTGCTAGGGAAAGTTGAGAGAGGGAATGGGCTCTATTCTTTGCAGTTCTGGTAGATCTGGGAGCACGGGTGTGCTCCCTGATTCTGGCCGAGCTCATAGCCTGGCAAGTGAGGCTCCCACCAGGCACAGGTAGTTACCTGGTCACTGTGAGGCTCTGCTTTTCCTGGCAGGTCAGCTCTGTTGAGCCTGCCTTCCAGGACAACAGAGAGGAAGGTAGAGGGGCCTCATCAGCCCCTTACCATGGGGCACAGGCAGGCAGGGCAAGAGATGGTCTTGTTGATAGCTCCCCTCTCCTGTTCCCCAAGCAGCCTGCAAGAAGGTGCCACACTCGTGCACGCGGCTGTACTCGGAAACCAAGTCATTCCCCGTGTGGGAAGGACGCACCTGCCACTACCTGTGAGTACTGCCTGGGGGTTGTGCTCCCTGCTTCCCCCTGTGCTCAGAGCCGGGGGTGTCTCCCCACAGCTCGGCTCTGGGGAAGAGAGAGGAGCGTGAGGCTGTCTCAGACTCCATCTGGCAGCTGCCAGGTGGCTGCAGCTGCCCCCTCCCCAGCGGAGGCTAAGCAGCCTCGTGTGTGTTTTAGTCCCTTGGGCTGCCCTGCCAGCTGCATTTCAGGGCAAGGTGTTGCTGAAGTTACAGCCCCGTAGCGGTGTCATCCACCTAGATGGCAGCAAGGTTGGATTTGGTGTGTGTGACCCCCAAGCAGCAGCAGATCCCCTGCCTGCCAGCCCAGCTCCTAAGCTGCCTCTCCACCTGTAAGCAGAGAGCTGGGGCCACCCCTACTATAATGCCAGGTCATGGGTGCCTCTGCTCTGCCTCTTGCCCTCTTTCCCCCTCCACTCCCCCCGACTCCAGCCTTCTTGTGATGGAGGCACAAAGCCTGGCTCTGTGGGGTCAGCTCCATTCCTCTACTAAGGCCAGTTACTGCAGCCTGGAGGGAAACGGGGGAGCCCCCCCGGCCTCCCCACACTTGTAAAAGCAGGTGTGTCCCTGTTTGTCATTCCCTACAACTCGCCCCTCTGCTGTGTGTGCAGGTACAGGAGAATCTACAAGGTACACCAGGATGTCTGCTACAAGGAGAGCTGCAAGAGCACCGTTCCTGAGAAGACAGCCAACAGGTACAGCTGGCAGCCCCACGCTGAGCACACTGGCCCAGGACAGGAGTATGCCACCAGCCAGCGTCGCCTGGCACGTGCAGGGGTGCCCAGGCTTGGGGTGGACTGGGAGAGGGGTGCAGGCACCCTGTGCAGAAGAGTGAGGAGCACATAACTGAGGCTCAGCTTGCCCTCCCTGTGAGCAGTGGCTGAGGGGCTGCAGGGCTGATGGTGCTCCCCTGCCTTCTCTTTCAGAAAACCAAGCAACAGTCACACACTGAAGAAGCCATAGAGTAAGTACCTGCTCCAGGCATCCCTTGGCCACAGGCAGGCACAGCTCCTCCTTTGGCTGCCCACCCCTACCCCCACCCCCTGAGGGAGCTGAGGAGGAGAAGGGTGGAAGCCAGAGCCCAGCCCTGGCTCATGCTGTCGTGTCAAGGGATTGTGAGGGCTCTCCAGCTGCTGTGCTGGGTAGACCTGGGCATGTAGCTGAGGGCTCCTGGTTGTGGCTGGGGTGGAGGAGCAGAAGGGAACGCTCCGTTTCTCTGCAGTCCCATCAGGGAGAGGTTCCTGCACAAAAAGGGCCTGGGCAAAGGGTGGAGCCCCAGGGTGAGGGGGGTCCCCTTTCTCCTAGCCTGAGACAGGGGCACAGGGTGGGGAGAGGTAGTTGTGGGGCTCTTGGGAGGACTGCACACCAGCTCATTCTTCTGCTCTTTCACAGGGTTCAAAGCAGTAGAAGCTTTGTCCTTTCTACATCTAAGGGCTTTTGAAACACCAGGAAGACCAGATCTGCTCACTGGGTTGAACACAGCAGGGGAACCTTCCTGTCTGGCATCAGCCTCTCCCTCTCCTCCAGCCTGTTAGGGACACACAGCTGGGACACAGCCAGACTGGCACTCTGAGCTGCACTCCTTTCCCTCAGCTGGACCAGCACTGCCTTTGCTCTGCCTTGCCTTATTCCAGCTGCCTCTCTGCCCTCGAGGAGCTGAGCACCAGTGTACTCCAGCAGCTGGCTGGCTGCCCCCCGAGGGGACCAGCCCTGCTCAGCCCACCCCCTCCACTGCACAAGTGAGAGGCTCCTAGCCCTGCTCAGGCATCAGCAGGGCTGAGCCCAGCTCCCTGACCACAGCAGCTGCACCAGCCTGCTTTTGTAATCCCAGACTAGAAATTACCTATAACCCCCAGATAAAACGGTTTAATGCAGACCAGAAGGCCTTAGCTATCACCACAACTGTGGCCCACAAAATCTCTTTGAAGGAGACCTTCCTTATGTAGATGAGTTAGAAACAGTGAGCAGCTTCCCTGAGCAGTGAGGCAATTGTGGGCAGGGGAGGCACATCCCTGTCTCCTCTGCTCTAGTGGGGGAAATTGAGGCCGCTTCTACTGCCTGCCTTTTTTCTTTTGCTTTGTAAACAATCCCTGGTTTTAACCAAGTTTCCAGCTAGGAAAGCAATAGAGCACCTGGAAAGAATTCTAAAACTGACATGTAGGGTGAAGTTTGTCAGCTGAGGTGTAACATGGCACTTGTTCTGATGCTAATTGCCTCCAAGCCACTTCAGGGCACAGCAGGGGCTCAGTGACCAAGCAAGCTCCATGTGCCATCCCCCAGAGATACTTCCAGTGTTTGCATTTCCCATGGCACCAAGAGGCCAGTGCTGTGTTGTTTGCCTGGCTGTGGCAGGGCAGGCAAGGAAAAAGTATAGCTTAGAAATGTTTCTAGTTTTTGAGATTTCGTACAACAACACTAGTTACACTGTGTACATTAATACACAAATCTATGTTTATATTATAAATTAATACATACAAAAGATATATTGTAGTTATGGTAGAGTGTTATTTCCCCAGCAGTGTGGGTGGTATCCTGGTGGGGCAGCCCTCTCCTCCCATAACTTTGTTATTCAGCTATGTATGTCAAGCTGCAGCCTGGAAGATACTCTCAGAACAGAACAGGCCCAGGAGTTTTAGTGCTCTTGGCACCACCCTCTCCCAACCAGGAGCAGTGCGAGAGTGTTTGGCGTAGAGGAGCAGCTGCTGAGGCCCCTGGGAGCAGCAGTGGCACTGTAAAGCCCTGACCAGCTGGCCAGTGTGACGCTCCTCTCCTGCACAGCCTCTTGAGTGTCAGAGATGGACATGCCTCACTTTCCTTCAAGGCTGCCTGATGCTGCTCCAGCCCCACTGCCACAAGGTGAGCACGGAAGTCCTGCCTCCCCAAGGTCATAAGAAGAAGCCAGGCCTTGCTTGGAAGAGCAGGGCAAGGAGAAAGCCAGAACACCCTCTGTCATCTGCCAGGGAGGGGAGGTTTTGGGGCCATGCTTAGAAAGACTTTGCACTCCTGCCTGGTCAGCCACAAGATCATTGCTGTCAAGGTGGAGGTGGCCCAGCCATGGAAAAGTCCCCTTTCCATGCAGCCCCTGGGCCCAGCCAGTGCTGCCATGGCACACCTCCTGCTCCACCACCTCCTGCCCCACAGCCAGCATAATATGTAATGCAGCCAAAAGGTTTTGACCTGTCCTTGGAAATGAATTAGTTACTTTGACCTGATTTTTTTTTTTTTTTAAAATAAAAACATTTCATGGAAACTGGATAACTTTTAAAGTAGTTGGTCAATAAGAAGGAATGGGAGTTATTGTGATATATGGGATTTATTGCTGCCCCTCAACAGGGCCCTGCATATAAAGTCCTGCAACCGCCGTGGCTCCTGCCCAGAGCACCCCTGAGTGCAGCAAGGCTGGGGACTGCACCAGCAGGGGAGGGCCTGGACACCTTGGAGCCTCACCTCCTCATGGCTGGGCTGCTTCACTTCCTTCACTGTCCAAGTCTTCATCTCCCTCTGCATATAGTGCATCCTCATCCTCTTCTTCCTTCTCCTCCTCCTCCTCCTCTCGAGCCAGCAGCTTCTTGAAGACCTCGTACTCCTCTGGAGTGGAGTGGGCCAGGCTGGCCAGGAACTCTTCCTCTGACAACCGAAGGATGTCCTTCAGTTTTGGGTTATTAGTTTGGGTCTGGCCTTTGTGCGGGGTCTGGTAGAACCCCCGGCGCTCCAAGAAGATGTGCCGGTTCCTGAGCTCCTCGAAGGGCATTCGGAAGAGACGGGCCTTCACCATCTCCTTCTGCTGGACCCCCATCCTGAAGTACACGTACTGCAGGCAGGACGGGGCGTCTCACGCACGGCCCCGCCGCGCAGGAGGCGCCTCCCCCACGGCCCCCCCGGGCCCCTCACCTGGAAGTGGTAGTGGATGCGGCGCGGCTCCTCCAGCAGCACGGCGGGGCAGGTCGCCAGCACCTCCCTCAGCTGCTCCG